GGGCTGAGGGGTTTAGGGATTTAGGGGTTTACGGTTTAGAGTTTTGGATTTGGCATATAGGGTGTAGGGTATAGGGTTTAGGGTTCAGGGTACAGGGAGTTATAGGGCTTAGGGGTTTAAGGTGTCGGGTTCAGAGCTTTGGAGTGTTGGGAATTGAAGTGTTGGTCCTCAAGGTCAGAGGCTGGGACTTTGAGTTTGGGTTCAGGGTTAAGGGTTCAGGGTTCAGGGTTTTTTGGTTTAGGTGTTGGGTTTAGATCCGAGTTTGCAACGTTGAGTTTGGGTTTCAAGGTTTCGGGAGTTCGGGATTCGGGTGTTGGTTTGGGGGCCACGGTCTTCGGCTTCTTCAGAGTTGTTGGCGATCTGTTGTGTTCTATGGGGCCTTTACTTAGGGTGCGGTTTGGGAGTGTAGGGTTAAGAGCTTAGGAACCCTAAACCCTAAACCCTAAACCCTAAAGAGCTTAGGGGGATCTTGGGTTGAGGGTTTAGGGGTTTAGTAACTTACTTGCGGGATGAGGCGACTCAGGGGGTGGGTATCGGTATCTTAAAAAATTGCGGCTGCCAAGGCTTATTAGTCTCTGTGCCTTGCTTCTAGCCCTAGATACTAGGCCCCATGATCCTTTAGGCCAGAAAGGCTTCTTAGTGTAGCTATCTCGTTTGTGGTACTAGTTCCTACGGATAAATCCTGCACTCCCCATCTTAAGGAATATACCATAATTCCCCTAGGGTCCTTGAAATAATGCAGGGTTTATATCATCAGCAGTAGGTTTCAGGATCCTTTAAGTAGGGCCAGTAGGGAGATGGCCGTGTGGCCGCAGGCACTTCACCTCTTCTATGCCATGCCTCAGATTCGCCGTGCCCCCGATACCGCTGCTTGGATGTAAAAGAGGGCGTTAATAATTTCGATAGGGTTGTGGGGTATATTATACTACAATTATAATCAGGACCCCCCAAAACCCTATTCTAATTATTAAGGCCCCTATACTAGGGTTTAAGACTTTTGGTTTACGGCTTTAGGGTTTAGGATTTAGGGAGTTAGGGGTTTTCTGTACCGGGTAGTATGTGGATTCAGAGTCCCGAAGCCCTTTATGACTTACAAAATACAAACCTCCCCTAGACCCTAAACCCTAAACCCTAACCCCGAACCCTAAACCCTGAAGCCAACACGGAAGTTCCGGAAGGCTCCAAGGATACAAACAGTGCCCAAAATAGGTGGGGCTAAATGAGTAGAATTGGGTTTGGGCAGATTATACTATAGTTATCATTACCTCAGTATACTGGAGGAATCCTTCTAACATGCTTCAAGGAGTCTCTCCGAAGGTGAAGCTATTCTAGAACAACCCCTCAAGCCTTAAAAGTTAAAACCCTTCAGAAAGAAGAAGCGCACTTACGCCCTTTGTCCAGGGGGGCGCCCAAAGCTTTGGGTGCTCACCTACATGCCAAGGGCACATTGGATTGTTTCGTGACGTGTGCAGCTTGAGGAGGATGGCTTCTTGTGCAATTTGGCGGAGGTGGCCCCTTACGTGCCGCCGGTGCGTGATGTGCGTGAGTGTGGTGGGCTATAGAGTAACTAGATAGCGCTTGCATCCCTTGCTTAGTATCCTGGCGAGGGATCGCCAGGAGAAGAGCTTTGGGTCAATGATGTCCGGCCCGAAGGCTTAAAGGGCCAACCGCGGCCCCCTCATCCATGCTTGATGCATCACCCAGCTCTCCGCAGGCCCGCCCCCCCAACCAGAAAGAGCAAGATATATGTATTCAATCCGGCGGATTGGATGGAACACTTGGGAAGACAGCCCAGGGGCCGCTCTGTTGTAATAGGGCCGAGCGCACCCTGGTCGACCACACACACACACACACACACACACATACGGAGAAGAGCATTTAGATAGCCGAAGGGAGAATTTTACACGTTTTGGTCTTATGTAGGTCTATCCTAAAAAGTTTGAGTTTTTTTGGGCCTGGCTGTTGAAGAAGAGAGCAACTGAAACCCTTCAGAAAGAAAAGCGCAGGAGTCCGAAACCCAGCTCTTCTAATTCCGGGTTCTAGTAAGCGTGTTTTTCTATTCTGAAAGGTTGGATTTTCAATCCCCTGGATATTGGGTTATAAGGCAAGATCGCCAATACCTTCCGAAAACAAACTGAAGGCCCAAAGGGTCCTAAGTACCTCTGTGTGAGATACTTACCCACACCATGATCGTAATTCCTACTATAGAAACCCATGTAATGTAGAAACCTGATTAAGAAACCCTGGCCCTGTAACCCCAATATATTAGGGTTTATATTAAGAAGCCTGATAAACAGCCAGGGGTTTTTAATCAGGTTCCTACAGTAGCCACTTAGGACCCTTTGGGCTCTGGCATTGGTTTGCAGATTTCAGGTCTGACAGCCCTCACTTCCGCGCAGTTGGCGTGTGATTTGGGGGGAGAAAGCATTGAGATGAAGCTATGAAGCTGAGTCTAGGGGGATGAAGCTACGAAGCTGAATTTAATTTGGGGGGGGGATGAAGCTATGACGCTAAGTCTAGGGGGATGAAGTTAAATTTAGGGGAATGAAGCTATGAAGTTAAGTTTAGGCCTGCTTTGTGTTGGAGAAAACAAGGTCGTCTGGTGATGGTCATGATTACGACGTCGACAGGACAGTCATGGTAATGAGGATAACCCCGCGGGTCGCAAATACTACAATTGTGGAACTAACCTCCAAAAGACTATCTTTATAGTGGTTTTGGGGCGGACCGAATTCCATAATAGTAGTATGTATGGACCCTCTTGTTAATAATGCTGGTGGTGGTTCTGCTACTGCCGATGATGATGGTGATGATCGCGAGCCAAAGCCACAACCCAAAGTGTCCCTACTCTACAATAGAGTTGCTGTAGACGTTCGAATAAAGTTCTTGGAAGATTCTACAACTGAAGGGTCCGAGGTACCTATATAGTGGAACGTGGGTTTCTACAGTAGGAACTGCTATGATGGTCCGGGCAATGATCCCCCAGAGCTACTCTAAACTCTAAGCCTTTGAAGAGGAAGCCATGAGACCTTAAGTCCTATTCCCCTAAACCCTAAACCCTAAACCCTAAACCCTCAACCCTAAACCCTAAACCCTAAACCCTAAACCCTAAACCCTAAACCCTAAACCCAAACCCTACACCCTACAACAGCACCGCGGAGGTCAGCTACAACGCGGCCATCAGCGCTGCAGGAACGGCGGGACTCTGGGAGCTGGCGCTTGATCTCCTTGCAGACCTCGAAAAGGCTCCGATACAGAATGTTTCAGGTTTAGGGTTTAGGAGTTTAGTGGTTCAGGATTTAGGGTTTAGGGTTCAGCAGTTTAGTGGTTCAGGGTTTAGGGTT